AAAGTGTTATGGAAAGCTTACCTCATCTGGTAGCTTAGTCAGAGCCTGCAACGATGAACTAGTTGGCCGAATGGCAGCAGCATCCGCCATGGATGAGATTTCCTCAGCCAGTGAAACATAGTCCTCGATGAGCTGTGGGGGTATTATCTAAGCTCAGTTCAAAGTCACCCATGATAGATATGGCATACCTTAGCCCTGCGCGGACTGACGACTGGAGTCTGTGGAGCGCGCGGCACTGCTACCACAGGTTGGTGATGACTGGCGGTTTCGGTCAGACAACATGCGGCCTAGAGGCAAACGGCGACGTACAAGAGCCGTCCGAGGTCGGTCAATGATAGCACGTAGTGTTCAACTTTCACGCGCCCGTGATATATCTGCGCAGCATTAATTGTGCCAGCATGGCATGAGCTGTCGGTGCGCGCACCTCATCCAAGATTATGATCTCCAACGCTCGTCGAAAAGGGGACGTTTTCTCGTACATACTCCTGAGGCAACGACCACGAACTGTGGACTAATCCCATCAGCTATCAACGACTTATGAGCCCATGATATGATCTCGCCTTTTCGAATAAAATTGGGAACGGCAATGTGTGGCGCATTGTTTTGAGCAAGTTCGTGAAGGACCTCTATCACTCCTAGTTGCAATGCGAGCATGATGAGTTGCCATGCATCAGGTGAAAACAGTCGACTTACGATAACGGAGAGCGTCCGATGGAGGCATGGTGGTCGAAGGCTGGAGAGTACAAAGGGTCGATGGTGGCTGCACGAGGGTGAGAGGCATCAAGGCGTGGAGAGGTATATATATGTCAAACGAGTGGCATCGGCATCATGCGCTACAACACGAGGCAGCAAGCGGGCAGTCTCAGTCGCCGTATCGTATATTCGGGTTCACCGCATATGTAGCTGGCATAAATAGACATGAATACTCACTCCGAGAAGGGTCTTCCAGCCCAGCGCTGTCGGCCAGAATCATTCCGTACTAGGCTTTGCAGCTCAGGGTCCAAGCTCGAAAGCGGGAGTGCAACGGTTATTATCCATCCTGTGAATGTGTAAGCAGAGTTCTGCGCGAACCTCAGTGTCGAGTCCTCACAGTACTTGAGAGAGCTCGAAGGAAAAGGCAGCCGGCTGCGAACCCATGCGCGTCGCGGGCGGTATACTGGTGGCGCGCGAGCCAGAGCTCATGATCAGCGTGATCCCTGCAGAAGCCGATGGAAACGTCGACGCACCGCGCTCCCCGGGGAATCTCGGATGATGCTGAAGTATACGGCGGCCGGCGCTGGCGCGACCCGCGCTAGCAAAAAGGAAATGCGCTGCAGGCGCGCGCGCCTGATATACAGGCCGTATCGAGCGTATAGCCATCACACCCAAAGATCAAAGATACATGCCTGCTCGTAGACGGGGAATGCGATGTGGAAGTGGGCGAGACTGATGGGGTGGGCGGCGCGGCGCGAGCGAGGCAGGCGGGGTGGGGACAACTCGCTGGCGGCTCGTGGGCGAGGTGGGCAGCGTGGACGCCGGCAGGGGCGCGATGAGGGAGACGCCGCGGGGCAGCGCGGGCACGGCGGCGGAGCAGGCGAAGGCAAGTAAGTGCAGACATAGCAGCGAAAGACATCGCTCACATTGCTAAGTCCCGCTCAAGCTTCGTTTTGAAGCGTGCACCAATGATCGGCGCTGGCCATCGCGCCGCGCCGAATTTGCGATGGTGCTGGACGCGGCGCGGGGATATGTTGAGGGAGGTGCGGGCGATGGACTCACGATTGGATAGCCTCGAGCGCACCACCGGGTCTTGTCGATCGCGGGATGCGCCAGCTTCCAAGGGCAGGGCATGATTCAATTGGGCCCTGGGACCGGGGGAGGCGTGAGCAGGATGCGCGAGCTTGAACGGGATCATACCAACACGTCTCTTCAGCTTCACGGCGGCCGGGGAACTGCGTCTTGGAAGAGCTCGGGCTCTCTGAAGGCGAAGGTCTTGGGTGAGCCGCCGCGAGGCAGCCGATGTATGGCGAGCCGAGCGCGTCGGACGTAGTGCTAGAACGTGGCTGGATCGAACGCAACGCGGTTTGCGGTTTGCGGTTTGCGGTTTGCGGTTTGCGGTTTGCGGTGGCGTCGATGGGTGGCAGAGGGGGAGACGAGGAGACAACCACTTTCGTGCGGAGGAGGAGGAGGTTATCTCAGCCAGCAGCGCGCCAACACTGCCAGAGGAAGAGGAGGCGGGCGATTCCTGCTCACGAGAAGCGCCGAGATCGGCGTGGGTCGCCCGGTCTACGGCGTCCAGCTCTGGACGTGCGCGCCTGATTTGTATGAAGTGGATGTAGAATCATGTGATGTAGGTACACTGGTGCATGTAGTAAAACGGGCCAAGAGCGCCCGCGTGCTCTGCGGGTCCGACACGATGCAGCGCGCTCGCGCGCGCGAGGCGGGGCCTACTGCACGAGGCTTGGGCCCGCCCGTGCGCCATGCGTCGAGACTGCCGGGCTAGCGGCGCTCTGAGGCACGACCTTGCTCTGGCTCTGTGGGAGACGGAAGGTGAGCGACGAGTCCCACGGAAAGCAGAGAGAAAGGTCTGCCACCGAAACTATGAAAGAAGAAAAATCAGAGAAGAAAACGGGGAGAGGAGGGAGGGTCAAAGATTTCGGGGTTGATGAAAAGGTTGGAGCGGCAAGGCGGAGAGAGGAATGAGTGAGGCGGACGGCGTGAGGAGGAGCGTCGAGGTAAGAGGCAAGCGATGGGCGCTTGCCTGCCGTCGCTCCTCCCGCCGTAGACTCGCGCCTGTCTCCTTCGCTCGTTCCTCGCTTCCACTCCAGACCATACGACTCCGCTAAGTGACATAATCGCCTGCCTCCTCCGCGCTCAGATCAGCAAAGCAGGAATTTGCAGATAATGCGTTGCAGCCCCGCAGAGAAGCAGACGACAGACGGACAGTACCCAGCAGTCGAGCAGTTGACCGCTGGGTCTTCTTGCGCAGTTGCGCAGACGGCGCCGGTGGGTCTGGATGGCGCATGAACCACTAGGGGGATGAAGCAATTGCATTATTAGGATGCTCTAGGCGAGAATACAATGGCATATATGTAGTAACGAGATACGCGATTCCTTGGGAATGGGAAACAGCATCAGGGCACACGCAAAGTCCGTCGTCCGAGCGTTCGTACTTGCTGAGCGATGCATCAGGGCGGATGTCGCAGTCTCAACTGACACAACCAGAGGGCTCAAGGTGGTGCGCGCATGCGCCGAATTTCGGAGGGCGCCCAGCAGCTGGGGGTGAGCGCAGTGAGCTCGACGTATCTGCTCCTGGCGACAAGACGTCACCGCAGCGGATGGTACATGCTGATTAACGGTGGCGTGTGGTGCCGGTCCTTCGTGCTTGCGTGGTGGGTTTTAGGCTAGCGCCAGGCCGCTGAGAGCCACGAGGGAGGTATGGAAGTCAGAGTAGTCACATACTCACCAAAGCACCGACGGCAAGGCGCGGAGCCGCGCATGGATGTCTAGCTGCCCCACGAGGGGTGGTAGAGGTAGACGCTAAAGTTCTTTCAGAACCAAAGAATCGCGCGGACAATCGTCGCGGTAATTGAGGTGAAGGCGAGACCGCACGAAGCCCTGAAGGTTGTGTTGTACGAACGGCGGTGAATACGTGAGAACCTTAAGAAGGGGAAGCCAGGCCGGAGGGAGATACGCACGAGAGGAAGAGGCGGCTGTATGCCTTGCAGGCCTCCGTGTTGAAACGTTGAATGTCGAACCGCCGTTCAATATCCGCGATAGGTTTAAAAGTGCCAAGAACCCTCCGTGACTTGCTATCAGCAGCCTGCGACGTGCATAGAACGGCCATTGTACTCACGCTTGAACACAAACAAGCAGACCATGACGTTCCCATCTGCCCACCCAGATAGATATACGTGAGCGCGAGGGTGGGGAGCACAAGGAGCGAGCTCACAGCCTCCCAACGAACGCGCCTGTCTTGGCCTGGACGGAGCGGAGTGGGCGAGGTAAAAAGGGCGCGGGGTTGCGAGGATGGAAGGGAGATGAGATGGCGGAAGCTTCAGCAAAAGTGCGTTCGGCCAGGTAAGGATCCCAGGCATTGGAATTCCCGGGATGGCGGCCCGGCTATTGGAATGCGATTAGAATTGCCCAATATTCGCTTGGGATGTGGCACCGAATTGGGATGCACGGGCGCCATCCTGGGAATTCGAATGCCATATTCCGATGATACCGCAATGGCTCGGGGCGTGGCCAGGCTGTGAAAAAAGCAACACAACGAGCGGGGCGCGACGGAGTTGGTTGGGCGTCATTTCTGAAACATCGGCGCCGCTCTTTCTCGACCAGTGACAAGCACCAGCTGGAATGAGCGCAGGCTCTCGGAGCCCCGTCAAGTTGCCAGTACTTCGGCGACCGCGATGCTTATGAGATCTGAGGCCGAAGCTATGTACGCATGCCTTGTTTGCTACCCCGCTAATAGTAGTGGGTGCATTCCCCTACTTTTCTTTGAGACTGCGCTCGGGTCATCCGGCAGGGACTGGTGATGCGCCGTGGACTTCCAGGCCCTCACTTGGCATGCCGTCTACGCCCAGCACAGTCCCCACGACGACCACGCACTGCGGTGTCGTCAATGGCGCTTTGACAGAACCATGCTGGTTGGTAGTTCCGCCGCCCACGCATCCGCTCACTCATGCACCTCTCCGGCGCCCATGCACCCTCCTCTTGTAGTGGCCTACACTGCTTTCACGTCCTCTACAAGCTCACACATTCAAGGATCTCTCTTGGCACCTCTCTCAACTTTGATTTTGCACCACGCTGCGCCCGTACGTTTTTATTTGTTTCACGTTGACAGGTTCTGTTCACCTGGTACAAGACCGTGTTTGGTCCGCCTGCGATGGGATACCGAGGACGTCATCGAATGAACATGGGCTGCTGCCATTGTATGTCTTGATACCGCTTTGTGACCATACAAACTTACCGCTTGCCGTGGCTTACTCCGTACGTATGAGGCCCAGCGCCTCTCGCGCACCATGGAGACAGAGAACCAGTCGCCCTTCAACCGGAAGACATTCCACCTCCCGGATTGGCCCGAGCAGGAGGCACGCGACGCAGACATGCGCGCCGCGATCGTGCGGGGGCTCGAGCGGCTCCGCGAGGGGCGTGCGGTCGGCGCGGGCGAAGTCGGGTGGAGCGCGGGCACCGCGACCCAGCGGGCGGGCGAGCACAAGAACGCGGGGCAAGTTTCTGGACGAGGCCGCTGAGCGCTGAGCGGTGGTAGCGCGAGACGGGCGCGGTGACGCTCGCAACGCTGGCGCTCTGCTGTCGAGGCCATGAGAATCGGCCGCGGTCGCCTCTCCTCGTGCCGCTTTTGATTCCCACCCTCTGCGCTTGGTGCCTGTGGACAGCGGATCGACTTGTTGAAAGGTTAACATCGACTGCTTTCGACCGCGAGTGCGGAGGACGTTGAGGCGGAGAACGCGAGGCGGAGAAAGTTCTCCACCCTCATGTTCTCCGCGGCCCGCCCTCGCATCAATGTCTTCCGCTTCCATCCGCCACCCTCGTATTCTCGCCCTCTGTGCTCATGTCTTCCGCCCTCTGTGCTTGCGTCCTCCTCGCGTCCTCCTCGCGTCCTCCTCGCGTCCTCCGCCTCCTGCCCTCCGCCTCCTGCCCTCCGCCTCCTGCCCTCCGCCTCCCATTCTCCGCCTCACGTTCTCCGCCTCAATGTCCTCCGCTTTCGCCTGCAGCCTGCTTTCGCGTTCTCCGCCCTCGTGTCCTCTGCTCTCGCCCGGCCCACTCTCGCTGCGGTACGCCCCTTCTCCGTCACGTCTACTTCGTTCAAACTCGTGACTGACATGCGTGCATTTACTTCCACAGTGCGATCTGCGAGCTGATGCGACCCAGCCTTAAAAGGGAGGCGCTTATGATAACGCGGTTGGAAAAGTCCCCGGGCGCAGATGGCGTCCTCCTCTACAGCGTTGCGGCGTCGATCCGCTCGCACAAGGGTCGCTCGCGCAGACGCGTATGTCGTCGCGTGAACACTGCACCTAGCTCCATGTTCGATATTATGCAACAAAAAACCGCTCGCCATATGTTTCTCGAAGTACACTGTGACATACTCATTCCATCCTAACCTAGAAACTCTCCTGTTCTAACTACTGTATTCGGAAAACACATTAAGAGCGTGAAGAGGCTTGAATCCTGCCATGATCATCATCTGGATAAACATGTCTTTCTCGTCTCCCTTAAGCGTCTGAAGCTTCCGTACCCACGACTCGCTTGTGACGCCCAGCGTTCTGAGTACCTTCTCCTGCTCGTACGACAGTCCGACCGCGCTGCAGAACCGCGCCACAGCGTCGGGTTCTTCTCCAGCCCTACGGCGCGTCCGCACGTCCGGCGATGCTGACCGGCTCGAGCGTCGCGCGCGCGCGCGAGGGACGTCCCCATCATCGCCCCCATTTCCTGGCGCCGTCCGCCCACGCCTGCGGGTATCGTCATCCGCATCGCGGACGACCGCCGACTGCAATGAGGAGGACTGCGCCACTGGCGAGCGTGTGTTCCGGCGGGCTGGCGGCCTCGCAGTGGACATGAGACGCGCGGAAGCACTGGCGCTCGAGACGCCTGAATCGCGCTCGCGGCTGCGGAGCGAGGCCACCCCTCGTCGGTGCGCAGCGACAGCCTTTTGGTGAGATTGGCCGTTGAGATGGGAGGAGAGGTTGTGGATACTCTTCTCAGTTACTGCGATGGGCTTGCGGGGAGCCGTCAACGAGGCGGAGTGAGTTGCGCGGGGAAGAGTGAAGCGCACCTTTGTCTCGCAGGTTTTGCAGACGACTGCCCACCGCGGGACGTCTGCATCGCCAGTGCAACAGACTTCTATATCGATATCGGTGTCTTTGAGCCCACCAAAAAGCGCCTTAAGGGCGGCGGGGATCGGTTTAGTCCCTGCGTGGAGGAGCATGAACGGATGAGAACAAAGGAGCGAGGGATGTTGTTTGACATACCACGGTATCTGGGGAATACGGAGGGGTTTGGCCGGGGCTTCTCGCGAGGGCTCTTCTGGTCAGCTTCGTTACTGGATATTTTCTGCCGCCGGGTGTCGTCGTCTTCGTTCCCGGATCTGTCGTTACACGCGGGGGAGTGGCCTCGAACCATGTAGTAGTGTAGCGGAAGTAAGCAGAGGGCAGAGGGAGCGCGAAGGAAACGCACCTTTTAGCTTGCTGGCCTTATCACAGTCCCGGGCGATCGATCGTACCCAATGAACGTCTTCTAAACGTCACCGCATCGTTGGCACGCCTGCCGATACAATTACAAAAGAAAACGTGGGATACTCGTGGTTGTCGCTCAGATGGAAATGGCGCGCCAGGCGTGTTCGTCGCTCCTGCCGCGGTGAAACGAAATGTGAACAACTCCTTCGATATCTAGTTTGCGATCACTCTAACCACGAACACATCCGTGTCCGATCTAGACGCGCCAGCCGCACCGTCGGCGGAAGTACTTGCTGTCAGTCTTGCGAGGTTCGATCGGCCAAGACGCGGGGCACCTCCGGCCTCGCGCTCAAGCGGACCGTCCGGGATCGCGACTTGCGCTGCTAGTAATCAGAGCGCCCGGCCCCTCGACTGCTATCTCATCTTTACGCCACAAAGCTCCCGCACGCTGCTAGGAAGCTGGGCGACGACACATGTATGCCGTGGTGTTGTCCTCGTGACGGTGAAGGCGGACCTCGCGTTCTTGCTGGCGGCCAACCTCCGAAAGGACCTACTTAGACTCCAGAAGGCGGAACGACGCTTGCATGTAGCGATGTTAGCACGAGCCAGGTCTGGGGGTGTCATTGCGCTGCGCCAAGAAGGCCGCACGGGTGGTACGAACACGCTGCATATCCTTGACATGCGAGGACGTAGCCAGCCGCGAGCCCCCGCAGCAACAAGCTGGAACATCAAAGTCGTGGCGAAGCGCACGATGCGCGCGGCTAGCTTGAGCGGCCTTGGCGCTGACTCTGACCTCACATCAGCAAAATGGGTGCATGCACGACAGGGCTCTGTAGTACACTGTAGTATGTCAGATAGCGCTATCATTATTTGTAGTTCAGACGAGCAATGATCCGATAGTATCCATGTTTGGTAGATTAACGGCGGCGACGATCAGCATTCATCTGCATCTGTCGGACAAGACACCGTCTGATCGGGCATGGTCAGACGCCAGTGAACGTCAGATCGAATCCCGGTGTGTGTATGATCATTAGCTGGCCTGTATATGATCTAACATTATCTGCGCAGCCGCTATACTACAGTGCATTCTTGACCCGACAAAGACCTATCGAGTGCGATCAGACACAGGTGCTGACGTCCATTATAGACCATATAACGGGTCACCGGATGCCTGGTGCGGTACAATCCACCGAAATCATGCACACACTCATAGCAGGTGTGCAGCACAAACCATTGTATTGCTACTTTATATCGAGTAAGGTACATACTACACATTGAAGAGAGCGACAGGAAAACGTCGGATGTTATGCTGACAATGCGTAGTCGCCATGTCAGCGGGATTGAGACCGACTCTCTGTGTGCTCATACAGCGGCCGGCGGCGGCGTGTCCCTGACATTCTGCCCGAGGACCGGCCGGCGGAGGTTAAGGTCAAGCGCATGAAGCTGGTACGCCGCATGGGTGTGCATCGGGACGCGGGTTCTGTTCTTAGGCACTAAGAGGAGTGTGGCGAAGAAGCTGAAGAAGCTGAACACTTGGCATCAGCGTCGGGGTTTGGGATTCGGCGCGGGAGAGGGAAGACGTACTTCCAGTCTCAGTCAAATCAGCCTCGGGCGCCGAGTAGCGCGGGGACAGTGAGCGCGACATTGAAGTTGATGGTTCAAGCGGGACGCAGTGAGCGCGGGGCGGGCGGAAGAGGAGTGGGATGGTACGTACACTGAGGACCAGCGAAGTCGCTTGCGACATGCCGACGTCGCGCTGCGCTGAGCTGTGTGTGGGCAACGTGCGCGCTCAGCGGGGGCCTCGAACCTGGGGTTATTCCAGTGGACGGCGCAGACGGAGGGGCCGAAGCTGGTTAAGGGACGCGGCAACCGAGGGAGCGAGGGAGCGAGGGAGGTGGACGCGTAGGGCGTGGAGGGGTGTATCGGTTGAGCGCGGGGAGATGGACGCGTTGAGTGTGGGGGAGGCGCTCACCTGAGAAGTCGTATTCCACTCCTCATGAACCGGTTTAACACCACTGGCGGTGCCGCACTTGCTGTCTGTCGAAGATTGGCGAAGCAGGGGGAAACATAACGGGGGAAACGAGGTTCGTACTGCTGCAGTGCGGGCCCCAGTGATATAAATGTTCTTGTTAAGCGGAGTTCATGTCGACCAGGATACTGTTGCCAGATGAGCTGCGCTTGAACCGGGTGGCAACGAGGATGTACATCTAGATCACCTTACCCACTGATAGCGACACCGGCCCCCATGAGCCTCTGAGAGCCTCGTCAGCAATAATATCAACTGGCCGACAAATCCAATATCATTGCAGATATGGTGAGGGAGACGATTCCATGAGACATGGAGATCCGAGAATCTGATCAGGGCACGAGTACCGTGGGACAGGAGGTCCGAGGGTGTCGCGGAGAAGAAAGGGAGCGAAGTGGGCGAACACGGAGGGGATGAGAGGAAAGCAAGCAGAGAGAAGGATAAGCACGATGGGAACTTCGGGGATGGTGGGGCGCGAGGCTTGACGGAGAGCGCGTGACACCGGCGCGTTGTGTCGGGGTCCCTCGTGAGTCGGAGATATGGCGTGTTGTGTAGCGGCACCTTGCAGGGCGATTTTCGGGGAGGCGCGACGTAGGTGCAAAGGGCGAGGGTGCAATGAGAGCCGGCGCGCGGGCGTCTGCGATGGTGGCGGGGTCGGGAGTCGAGTCCTGCGGACGCGTGCGTGGATAGAATTGGGAGACTAGTAGTACCAGCGCCCGTACCGAGGATGTTTTGACTACACTCTAGCTCCTTCTTAGCGTGAAGAAACAAGGAATGAGTCTCATCTACCATAGTACAACTGGCTCCCCAGTGCTCTCTCAAAAAATGTCTTACCAGATTATCACCGGTCGAGCAGAGCCCTACACTACGTAAGTCGATCGTGTCCGATCATTGGACCTCCGGACCGACGATGTCTGGCGTCTGCCGAGCTGACATCATCCGCTTTCGCCGGGCGCCACAGCGCTCGATCGGGCACCCCTCGTTTTGCTGATGCAATACACGTCTATAGATCTAGATAAGTAAGTAACGTTCCCGGGAAGTTACACGCCGCCCTCATGTTGACGGTCCGGCACGCCACGAACCTCGCCGCGGACCAGGCCCCCATGGCGCCTGCCAGCGGCGGCAGCGTGGACCGCCGCGGCGCGTTCGTCCGCTCGCCGCGCTCGAGTCCTCCGGTGCGCGCGGCGCGGTTCGGGGGGTCCTCCATCCGTGCCAGTTCGGCTCGACCAGCCAACGCTCTACCACTGACGCGGTATCATACGCCGTCAATTACATTCACCAGGCCTGGCGGCACAAGTGGGTCGTCACCATGGTAGGTTGTGACGTCGCGCAGTTTTCCCCCTCTGTCGACCATGAGCTCCTCGTCGGGGTCTGCGCACGCCGTGGCTTCCCGCCCCCCTTCGTTTCATGGCTGCGTGCATACCTAGGCCCCCGTTCATCATCCTTCCGTTTCGGCTCCGTGTCATCCCCACCCTTCCCCTGCCCCGATGTCGGCGTCGGCTAAGGCAGCGCCCTATCCCCTACCCTCTCTGGCCTCGGTCTCACCCCCGTACTCTTCCAACTCGACGCGGAGTGCCGCTATCGTCCCCGTGACTCACCCGCATGACCCTACTTCCACTTCTACGTAGACGACGGCGGACTCATGGTCGCTTCTCCCTCTATCCCCTGCAACCTCGAACTGATAGCACCGCTTTACAATTCCCTCACCACACTCCTGACCCACGCTGGCCTCGTCCTCGAGCACGACAAGTCGGAAGCCATCCATTTTGCTGCTCATAGTGATCGTGCTCAACGCGACCTCCTCTCCTCCCCCGTCCCGCTCCCTGGCCTCCCCGCGTCCCTTCGCCCCCCGGCGCACCTCCGCCATCTCGGCTTCCTCCTTGACCTGTCATGGCAAGCACATGTCTCCCACTACGCCATGCGCGCCTCTACCACTACCGTCGCTACACGCATGCTCGGTTCCTATCCTCTGAAGTGACCGTATACATCTATTCAGCTCTGGCATTCCCCGACAGGCTAGACGGTTCAGAAGTAGGCTCAAGACCTGTGACGATACCGTGGGCGTGGAGCATATTGAGGAAAGAAACTCGATAGACCATCATCCAGAACTCTTCCCGCTTTCTGAAGTGGAGCGAGAACCGATTTGAAGCGCTAGCGAAAGCGATGGCCTGCGATAGCTTGAGACTCATTCAGCACAAGTGAGATTCCAGTGGTGCTGGAGAGACGCGTACCTCATAGATAACAATGTTGATCTTTTCGTTTGGAAACGTGAATAGCGCCGCCAGCTCGGGTGGCTCAACCTTGCTGCCATCGAGCATCTCGCGGACAAAGAACACGTCTGCACAGATGTCAAAGGTGCTGTGCGCCCTTTAGGACTTACTCACATTTGGTGGCATCATCGAGTTGGAACACCAAAAGGTTGACTTGGCGGTATGTTTCTCCTACGTCGACAGCAGACCCGCGGCGGAGGGTTTCGCTGATGAAAACATCACTGCTTTCGACAACGGCGCGCGTTTGGCTACGATGCGCATGTGAACAGATTATCGGGTGTACCAGATTGCCGCTACTTACCTAGAGCAGGGAATGGGCATGATTGCGCGAGGCTCTGAACCTGACGTGATGTCAAAAAGATGGATGTCGGAAGCGACGGCAGGGGCATGCGCTTAGTATAAGTGTACATGGAGACGCAAAGGTGATTGTTTCAACCCGTGATCAACTTCCATTGTCCAAGCCAGAAAAGCTCAACGAGCCCGGCGCAAGGGGGTTGACGCGCGAGAAACAAATATGACGCGCCCGGCACGAGGTTGGCGCGCCGGGGGCAGCGAATTGGACAGGGCTGAATAACATGAAATATCGGCCTACAACATGGGCAGGCGTAACCGAGCAAGCGCTAGCAGTGTCCGGAGGTATGCGCGCGGGAGAAGAAGTAACCTGGCAAGAAGGCCCATTGGGAGGGAGGAGGAGGAGGAGGAGGAGGAGGAGGAGGAGGAGGAGGAGGAGGAGGAGGAGGAGGCGTATCGCCAGTGACGTATCGCTAAACGCGGGTAATTCTGACCGTGGTCGATCTTGGAAGCGCCAGTTGATCGCGAGATGTTCATATTCTGTCGTACAATCCCGAGTGGATCATACAAAATCCGTGTGACAGCTGGCGTTCAACATTTATCTTAGTGTGATAGACAAAGACGACCTTAGATCCACAACAGAGCGAACGATCATAAGCTCTCCCGTGACTGACCTTCGAATGACCACTGGTACTTAGATCACTGACAGATCGAAGATGCCTGGGAAGGTGACCACGTGATGTCATACACGGCTGCACAGTTGAGCGCTTGAGCCCGATCGAGCAACTACATAGACCTTTCCGACGTGTCCCACAGTAGCAATGAGTCTGAATACGGGTGATTATGCCACATGGCGTCGCCTCCTAACCAGAATAGTTGCTCAGTCTCGCGCAAATATATAGTGTGCCATTAAGGTTCTTCGGAGGGAGGCCCCCGGCGCGCACGTAGATCGAAGCCGAGAAGGGCATGCTCAGCGCGGGAACACGACGCCACGCACGAGTACAGGCCGCCATAGGCTCGATCATCCATCCCCTTTTCGTCGTACTTCTTAAGTACGACGAAAAGGGGATGGATGATCGAGCCTAAGGCCGCCGTCGCCGTTGAGGTGATGCCGATCTGGCCGCCCTGCGCGGCCTTGAACGAGCTTGCACGCGTATGCGTGGGCGAGTATTAGGTGGTTCCCGGCACTAAGTGTCGTCCATCGCGGGCCGCCATAGCGCCGCATAAAGATACCCGCCTTGCGGGTCTCACGGCGAATGACCCGGTGGGTGAATCCGCTGGACTCCAACTGAGCCTGGAAAAGGTGAGCATCAAATCTGCGTGGCAGACGTTCATCGCTCACCTTGAGCCTCCCAGTGTTCTTCTTCGTGTGGTGGTCATGCGGGTGGGGCTGGCATTTTGGTCGGCGACGAGGGACAGCGCGTGAAATGGTGAGACTGACCTGATGTACGTGCACGGTTCCCTTCCAGCACGGTGCCGTGAATGAGCGAAGAGAGCCTCCGCTGGCACTCTTGCGCGCGCCGAGGTTGTTCATGGCCTTCTCGAAGTCCTTGAACTTGATATCTTCGGGCGCGACGACGCCGTAGATCACGTTGAAAATCTGCTCTTCATTAGCAGAACGACGACGTGGTTATCAAGGTACGTACACGTGCGTTGTTCTTGTTCATATTGACGCTGAATGACGAGGGAGCAGTGCGAAGAAGTGTGAAAGAGCGAGAGTGTGGGCGACGAGCAACTTGGTGCACGAGAGCGAGAGAGTGGAGGAGGAAAAGAGAGAAGGAGAGAAAGAGAGCGAGAGAGTGGACGAGAGCGAGAGAGTGCGAGAGCGAAAGGAGACCGTGGACGCGAACGACGAGGGCGAGCGGGAGGACGAGCGGGAGCCAACGGGCCGGTGGGCTCTCCGAGAAAGTCGGAGGCGCGGGCGGGGGCGCCTGCGGACAGCGCGTGCCCAAGTCCGCGCTACCCTTCGACTGAGCGTGGTCGCCGTGTCGAAGGGCTTGCCATCCACCTAAACGCGCCCTCCTTGAGTTGGTAGGCGGATTTAATAGACTGCAATTGCACTGAAAACAATCACCCTTCAGCTGCCAGACTTGCGCGCGGGGCCGAAGTTCAGAGGACACCAGCGCATTGCTTTAGACCTCTGGCGCTGCACTCAGGTGAGCCGCTCTCTGATACCGAGCTCCGCGCGATACTCACGGTCCACCACTCATTGTGTTTGTCTCCAGCAGGTACGGACGAACAAGATGTCGGATGTTGTGACGGTTCTCACATTTTGTTCGCAGGCCATCTTTGCTCTTCAAGCCCCTGCGCGAGCTCCTTCCCCCTCTCGTCAGACTCTGAATCCCCCCTCGCGCACGCAGTACATCGTCTTGGAGATGCCCGCGCGCCCCGCCCCGCGCGACCCATAGAACACTGCGGCGGCGGACGACGGTGGGGTGCGCTACCCCGCTCTTACCGATCCGCACGCCCGCCGTATTCGCCGAGGCGCTTTTCTTCGATGACTCCGTCTCGCGCGTGCTCAGCGTCGGTACCGGCATTCAGCGACGGGCTGGAGAGCATCGGGGAGGTCATGGCGCTCGGCGGCGGGAGACAGGAAGAGCCAGCGAGGTGAGGGTGGCGGCGAGGAAGAATAAAGCCCACACTCTATCTCGGATCGGAGAGCGTGCGCGAGGCGCTACCGGTCTGGATTCTGGGCGAGGCGTTGGACGCCAGGTCAGTGCCTACGGGATGCTCACCGTGCGCACGTTGCTAACCCGATGTTCGCTTGTTGTCTTACAGCTTCGCTTCGAGCAGTTCGGCGACCGCGTCAAGTTCTGGTGCGTGCCGCTGACTTGCCTCAGGGCACCCACGTCCCTCAGCTCACCGTCGCGCCCGCACGTGGTCACGCGCCCCTCGCCTCCCGTCGACGCGCCCGTCCGCGCACCCAGGCTGACGCATAACGAGCCGTGGTGCATCTCCATCCTCGGCCACGGTCGCAGCGTGTTCACCCCCGGGCGGTCAAGTGACCGCGTGCGCTCGCCCGAGGGCGATTCCTCGGCTGAGTCATGGATGTACGTCCTTCCGCCGCCCTCCCTCCCTCCCTCCTGCTCACTTCGCCGTGCCAAACGCCGTCCGCGTGCCCGACGATCCCGCCACCCAATCATCCGATGTGCCCGCCCCCGCTGCCCCGGCCTCGCTTGTGCGGAGTCTTCTCGCTGCCCAGCGCGCATCTGCGCGCCGCGGCGAGGACCGCAAGCTCTCTGCGGACGGCTCGCAGGCTGTATGCGCCAGGTCGCTGCTCTCGCCGCCAACGGCGATACTGCTGTTGATCGCGAGTGTCATGCTCCCCATGATGGTTGTGCCGGTGCAGGTCGACGATGCCACGCTGTCGGGCGTGCGGCATGACATGGCGAGTGTGTTTGAGGTCTTCCCAGGAGTCGTTGAGGGCACGCTCATCAATAGTGTGCCGCCCCCGCCAAGTGTTACATGTTGTGGGTCGAGGGACTATCTGTCGATGCTAGAACTGGAGGCTTTACTTGTATGGTTAATACATCAGTCGAGGAATGTCTACAGGCGCAAGCCGACATGTGTACTTCCACCCTGCGCCTCTGCAACCGTGCCGTGTCAACGACTACAGTGACGGTCAGACGGTCAGAAGCTCCGGCACCCGCCTATGTTTCGCTCCCTGAGGCCGGTTCAACTGATGAGATTCTCGACTGCGATTATCGTATTAGCAGGAAGAGCGTACAGAAAAACCAATTGCGAACTCACTCTGAGTTTTATGCTTGTTCCTGTACGTCGAATCCGAAATCCACGAGGGCCATCGCTTGTCCTCGGTAAGGATCAGGCGCCGTTTATCGTCTCTTTGAAAACCCTGCTGTACAAGCTTCCATACACGTCCACCAGCATTATCCGTATCCCAGAGCCACAATTTGTCCCCACTGCCATTCTTGTGATAGAAAAGGTCGCCATGTCGTCCATCGTGACACTGATCAAAGTCCGGAGGTATCGGACCAGCGGCTGGAGAAATTGCTTCAAAATAGCCTGTTCCCCTGTGATTTCCTCTAGGGTCGTCCACAACGCCTTTGACGTCGGCGTTAGAACGATCGGACACATCTATGCGAAAGGCGTGCCACTTTCGTTTGTAGATCTGCAGCTCGTTATCAGTCGCAAAGATATCAGCGCGAGGGGCATGAACCCACGGTGCTGGAATTGTCGCTTGTTTGAAAACTACTACTCGGCGCAAGGTGAGAGCTAGAAAGCGGGAGGCCGGGTTAGAAGCCTTTCAAAGCTCAAGTGCTTTCCGATCTTAGCTTACAAGGCACCGTGGATGGAGGGCGGTGGCGCTGAAGCATAACGGACGTTATGAGGACGCCAACTGGCCTCTCCAGGGGACAGCTGATCTGAGCTGTTTCTTGTTACAGGATGGGCGGGCATGTCGGGTCGAGAAGAGTAGGGCAAGGGCTGGTTTGCTGAGAGCGAGGGGCGGCCGGCCGATGACGACGTCGCGCAAGCTCTAAACTCATCAGCGTTAGAATACTCAAACGAATAAAAAAGAGGGGGATGGGACCTTGAGACCGTATCAGAAAAGGTGCGCATGATGAGGGGTTCGATAGTGCCCTGGCCAACGGTTGGTGTGCTTGGGGTAAAAAATTGCAACTTCGTTGCGGATGATCCAGGTGAAGAGATGACCACAGCAATAAACATAGGTGTGTGGGGAAACATGGCCATAGCACGCCGGCTCCATGGAAATGTTTGGGGAAGTAAGATGGCACGGAGCCGAGGGGCAGATCGAACACACAACACCGCTGCAACGCAGATGAAAAGCGAAGCCAGAGCGGAAACGGCAGGAATTGGAATGACAAGAGTATTGGTCATACTGCCGTTGGACCGGGTCGCCAGGGAATGCGAGGACGACATACGGAAAACAGGAGGGGACGGCTCAGAGTCGGAGAAGAAAGTGCGCGAAAGGATCATAATCTGTGCGGTCGTGACTTTCTTTGTCTGGCTGCGAGCCGTGTTCTTGCCTTGCGCAAGGATGGGGCTGGCGCCGGCAAGCCGGCGGGCCGAAGCGTCGCCGCCAGTAAAATTCAACGCCCAGCGGCTTGCTCGACTCGCCCCCACCCCCGCTACCCCGAGCAGACTGGACCCTCCCATTCACACTCTCGCCAGGCAATGCGCCAGAACCACCCCCGCTACCCCGAGCAGACTGGACCCTCCCATTCACACTCTCGCCAGGCAACGCACCAGAAGTGGCAGCGGACGCTCGGCGCCCTGTCCTCACCTTCTGCCGGAGCGCGGGGCGCAGACGGCCAGGCGGACGCCCACGACCTGAGAACGCCTTGAGGTGAGGGCTCCCGCCATCGGCGGAGCACCCGGACCATGGCGGCGAGAGGCTGCCCCTGCGGCCTCTCTGCCATCTGCCATCTCGGGCGGTACCAAGACTGCAAGACGGCGGCGGGCTACGGGAGACGTGAGACGTGAGACGGGCTGCAGGAGACGGGCGACGGGCGGAGGGCGACTTCGGACAGGTGTGTGTATTTTCAATGGATTTGCAAGCCATCGTTGACGTGTAGACTAGATCTTGAATCGGCCTAGGATGGGATTGGGGGCGGGCGGCACGTCGGCGCATCGACCGTTTGCCCATTCTGCGTTTCCTCGCGCGCCCTCAAACCTTCTCAAACACGCCCAAGACTTCCTCACGTGCCGTTGCCATCATCAAGTCCGTTCCGCGTTGTCCGTACGCTTGCTGCCGTGCGTCTGCTTTCGTTCAACGCCTGTTTCGTCTCCCTCACATCCAATGTCCCTGATAGTCCGTGCCCCGCCTTCACGACGCCTTCAAATGCATCAGGCACTTTTTCGAGTGACGATGGACGGCCACGTTCGCGATCTCGACGGAGCCGCGCCCTCGGTGTTGCCACGCACCCAATCCCACTGCACCCCCGGCTCCTCTGCCGATACCGACCGCCGCAATCCCGTTCAAATCCCCGCTGCACATGTGTTGTGCGTCTCGTCCAAGACACCGCTGCTCAAGACGAAGCCCATATTCGTTGTCGAGGGCGTGCGGAACGCGTTGCTCGAGACCGTCGAGCGTGGGTTTGATTCCAAGATCGCGGAGCACCTGCTGTCGTGAAGTTTCTCAAGACGAACATGCTCAACAGCGAGCTGAAGCGACGTGCCAAACCGTGGGCGCGGGCGCGGCAATCAAGCTGAGCTTGCACGGGTTCGAAGTCAAGACGATTAGCTGCTTTTGGGCAAACAGAGGTGCGGGTTGTGCATTGGCTGCTCAGGACGAGAGGCTGATGGGCTCGCGTGGGCAGCGCCATCTCCTGCCACAGCAAACGTGAGAATTACTGAGGTTACACCCGCCACTGCTCTCATCATGTGAGCACCTCCACCACTCGCTCGCGATCCTCACTGACTGTATGCGCTTCATTCATTGTCTTTTTTCAGACCCTATGCCTTGAAGAACTACCACCTGACTATATGCACCAATCCGTCCGCGCCTCCCACCAACGGCTTCCCAGCCGATCACTCCTCAGCTTTCCGTTTGCCGCACCCGCGCGCCCACCGCTGCGCTCGCGCGTTCGTATTCATTCATCATGCGCTTCGTTTTCTAATTGTTCCCGATGGCCCTTGCACTTTTCCGGTGAAGTCTCTGAGGTTCCACGAACTTCGTTCCATGGTCGCCTTCAGGCATTCGCGGGCCCAACACTGCGGCGGCGCATTCATTCGTTGTCACGCTCCCCATCTCTGAATCGTCCGCCTGGTCTCTCTGGCCTCCAGTTTCGCGACATACCCAGCATGCTATGCTAGCATCTTTTTGTGACGACCTCGGTCAGTCTCTTGTTGTCGATGGTGTTGATGCCCTGGCGGCTTCTGACAAGATATCTTCACAGGTGTCGGACAGGCGATGCGCGTTGCTGAGACGCCCGCACAGGAAGGTTTGTACGCCCCTCTCTTGATGTAGGCTTGACTGACCTCATGACAGACCACTACGATGTCGGCGACTTGCTATCCGCCTTGTGCTCATCTAGGCTACCATATTCTGGCCGTCTGTGCTAAGCCTATGGCTCTTGGGATGGTGCCGTTCTCCACCCGCGTTTTAAGAGTCCACGGGTTAGTATCGTTCGTCACTCTTTTTTTCTTTGCTCACAGGTTTATCATGTCCAACATTGCAGACCGCAACGAGAATCTGTTGTTCTTGGCTCCAGTCTGCTTGATCCGCCATGTTTAGCTTCCCTCGCCCTGTTCCATTTTGTATACTTTCGCTCCCTCCATACGCTTTGCCCCCCTCTAGGACGTGCGCTGTATTTGGTACTGTGCAGCAGCCATGCCTTGGTCGCTCTTGGGTGCAATGCCACTTCCCTTTGTTCCATCTATGACAAAGCAAACACGTGCTGTTAACACAGTACCAGTCTCCGCCTCCTGCACTCTCTATCCACGACCACACTGCTCACTACGGTTCGGCAATTCTTTCGTTCATAACGGTGTGTGTGCGCGCGCTCCACGCCTCCCGCGCTATCGACATTGAATTGTCATTTTCAGATGTTCGACGCTGATGCTATCGAACGAGAGGCACAGCTCCGCTCGGAATTGGAAGATGCGCAACATTCGAACGAGATCCTAGCCCACCGGCTGTCTAGTGCGGCTAAAGACATAGTGAGTGAGAGATCTTTGTCTGGCTGATTCTGATCATGAGAGGTGTCCTCATAGGCGCGTTTGGAGGCTAGTCTTGCAGCACGCGAGGAAGATTTAGAAACCCTGAATCTCCGTCATGAGACTATGAAGCTCGTACACTCTCAACGTGTGCGGGACTTTAAGGAGAAACATCGCGAATCTTTGCAAGCTTCTGTAAGTATCTCGAATCCTGTGAGACCGCTGTATCACTGACCAGAGCATAGGAACAATCATCTGCAATCGCTATATCGGAGCAGGGGCGGTTCACACGGGATATGCAACTCCTTCGCAAGGATATGGATTGTCGTTTGAACCAAATGCAGGTGCAGACCAGCGACTTAAGCGATATGCATGCACGTGGTATTTTTCGCGGTGTTTCTACTATTCTTATGCTCACTGTTACATCAGGAAGACCTTCGTAATGGGATCCGGAGCTGGTTTCACGATTTATCCTCAAGCATCAAAGAAGTGTTTGATTCCGTCGACGCCAAAGCAACAGAATGCTTGAACGCCGAACGCGAACTCCGAGAAATCGTAGAGAACTTCATGACCCGGTCACAGGCAGAGGATAATGGTGCGGTTCTACCGTGGTGCTCTCGACTTTGTGCAGATAGCTAACGGCTCCACATCATCGTCGTTGGCGATAGGGAACAACCAATGGGCGCTCTCTCATCTCTCTCCTCTGGCTTTCACGACCCTGAATCCAATATCTGACCATATCAATTACCCTGAGCCGACACCATGGCTTAGTCCAGATGTTTCTGCGGACCCCACAGGAACGCAGCGCGCCACTGACGAGCCTGAAGTGCACGTGCCGCCGTCGCCTCGGTCATCTATTGGACACCTCGTGTTTTCTTCGAACGACCTCGGGGCCGCTACAAGCGAATGTGCGGCTGAGGATTCTATTTCCATCTTGGGGTTCCCGACGACATCGCCCATGGTATACCATCCCCAATATTCCCTTTGTTTCCAGATCGACACTCCACGACTGCTATTGCAATCTCATGATGTCAGTACTAGCGATGGTCGAACGCCGACAGAGCCGTCTCCACTCCCAGACAACATTCTCGGTATTTCTATACACCGCGCATCTAGCATCGTTCAACCGTTCTGGGCGGTTGATCCTGAAACCGGCCTATCCGGCGCCAGCGGTGAGTTCCTGCTTCGCTAGTGCTATTCCGGTCTCATTTATGCAGTTGTAGGGTCATCCACTACGTCACCGCCTCCGCCCGCACGTCAGGTTGCGAATCGAGACCTCAGCGCCATTGAAGGCTTATCACCTAGCGCGCCGTCGCATTCACTGGTCGTTGATGCCAGATTGCATCACTCTAGCGGACCATCGCAATCCAGCCTTAAGATCCATCCTGCTCAGCGTAACACCACCTCGCTTCACCCACCTTTACCTAGCCAATGGCACAGCGTCGGTGGTAATCTTGTGCAGGGCTACCTTATTCCTCATGGCCGTGACTTGTGGCATTTCACTCACAACGCTCATGGTACGTTCGTGGGCGTATATGTCAGTCAATTCTGTGCTGATGCAAACATCGCCGTAAGATCTCAGCGGTCTTGTGACCACCGATTCATACGCTTTGTGTATTAAGGTGCACTCGAAGAAGAACGCCTTTCTGAAGGTACCGGTACAAGGCATTTGCTACATTCTCTGTTACTGACACGGCGCGTGTACTTCTGCAGGGTGCCATCCTATGCGGTTTCTTATCGCTGATATGGTTATTGACCCATCCCATTTCTCTTCCCGACTGCGTATGCGACGCGACAGCGTGGGGAAAGGTCCATGGCGATCCAATCAGGCTCTTTTCGATCGATTCTATCATTGAGCATACAATTTGTAGGTTTGCGGTGGTCGATATTGGTCGTGACCAGCTAGCGGCGTGTTTTCCTGCCATTATCCCCACTTAGTAGAACAAGCCTCGATGTCGGCGGGGTCATTGCTTGATAGTATAAGAATATACTGCCGAATAGCAAATGCGCTCAATTGTTGGGACTCATTTCTAGGTTCGCCGCGAGTGATTGCCTTTTGGAATCGAAGTCGATCGTCAGGAATTAGGATACATACTGCCCCGGCGGGACTCACAGACGCCGGCCTCCTCCGCTGGCGCCGCTGCCATCTTCAACTTTGCAGCTCTACGGCTGCCCCCCATGCCACTCCGTTGCGTTTCGTTGACGTTTGTCTTTCCCACTTTCGGCTCTCAGCCAGCGGGCGCCGCCAGCCGCCCGCGAACTGGCGCCTGGCCGATGCTTTCCTTCTCACCACTGCCCCTCGACCTTTGCGTCCGCATCGCCCTCATCATTGTCCTCGCCCGCCTCCTCGGCCTCCTCGCAAGACCTTCGCGCCAACTTCCACCTCCGCATTGCGCGCGTCGTCCGCCTCCACCTTGCCCATCTCCGCGCGCGTCGTCCCACCATCCTCCTCACCCCACGTCGTCCGCCTCTACACCACCCACCTCCAGATACCCCTCCTTCACGTCGCCCTCCTTGTCACCCACCTGCGCTGCGTCGCCCACCTCGGCCTCGTCGCCCACCTCCTCCCCCTCGCCTCCGCCCACGCATGGATCTGGCAACGGAGACTCCTGGCGCATCGCGGCACTAGCGGCGCGCGCCGCTCCGACTTCGACCCTTACTCACGGTCTTTCTCCCAGTCGTCGTCACTACCGATGGCGGCCTTGACAGGCTCTCGCTCTCGATGGCCAGCGGTCGACTTTCAGTACGCATGGCAGAACACACGGCCCCTGGTCAAGGACGAGCGCGAGAAGTCGCTCGGCGCCGCGCTAGGAAAGGATCTTGCGTGCGCCTGCACACAAGATTTCTATATCTCCGTGGGACCGATGGCGTTGGTGGAGGACGGAAAGGAGGAGTTGAAGGACTGTCCGGTGCGTCTTTACTTTGCGCGTCTTCTCTGGCTCCTCCCGTTCACCACACACATCCCATACAGACTCGTTCAACCTCATGCCTAGATACACAAGGACGGGAGACATCCGACGCAAACTGCGACGAGCTCGCGAGGCGACAAATTACCCTGCGATGACCCACGATGTTACGCGGCGCCCGGGCCTCAAGGTACGCCTCTTTTTCCCGCGCCGCCGTCTCCCTGCTCAGCTCGATGTTCGATCCACACAATAGCCCACCCCCTTGAGCGTCGCCTGCCCCACACTCCCGCTCATCGGTCCCATCGCACGGCAAGGCTTCAGCCTCCACCGACAGCGCAACCCCGCGCGCTGCCGGCGGACTCGGAATCCCCTCACCCTCAGCCCCACCGCCTTGTGCTTGTTCCAATACGTCGTCGAGGCTCATGGCGCGCCGGTTCCGACTGTACTGGTCCGTCATTCCATCACCTCATGCGCGCATATACTCACTTCACATGAACGGACGCAGGACATATCACTGCATCTCATTTACCGCGAGAAGAGCCCTGGCTTGTCGGCTCCGTCTCGCTGACGCGGGACCTAGAGCGTGCCCTGATACACGAGATGCGTCATGACCCGTGGCTCCGAAGCGTCGACGTACACGAACAAGAGCGAGATACGGACAATCTGGCCAGCTCGTCATGGCTGACGACGCAGTTATCGACTTGCTGAAGGCTGCGGCGGCACGGAGCAGTGAAGCTGTAAATGAGAGGTTTAGGATGAGTGATAACGCGTAGCTCATGCGCAGGGATTGTTGGTCGTCAAGGGCATTATCACTCCAAGGTACGTCTTCGTCTCTCTACTTCTCGAGCACATACCGATCTCTCTTTGCCCAGGACGTGGAGCTCGTGATGGGGGCGGCATTCGCTCAGGCACGGACACGTTCTGCGCGATCGCTCCTCGGGACGCAGGCCGTCTGCGTGGGTCTCATCTCACCTCCATCTTCCGTCTTAGCGAGTGCTGAGGATGGCTCCCCTGCGGCGCAGTCAGTGGGGCGTACGCGTATAGGCTCGTGGTCGCCGGACAGGAGGGCGTCGAGGCAGTGATGAAGACCATCCTCGTCGAGTTCAAGCCCTCCCTCGCTGCACGCACAGAGCCATTCTTACGCTACCCATTCAACACTCGATCCTTCTTCACGAGCGGAGGGCCCAAGGGCATCCGCGACCGACTACACCACTTACGCGGATATGTCCAGTCGATGCGCCGCTGCTGATCGATGGCGTCATGTCCGCCGCGGTGATGCACGCCCCCCGGACCCATGATCTCCGTTACGCTCCGCGGTGCTGGAGAAGCCGTTCCCGCACTTACTCGAGCTCGCGCAGGCAAGCTACCGGCGCAGGAAGCGGTCAGGCTCGAGGGGTCCTTCCGCGGGGTTGCGGATGCAGATCTAAGTCCCGGGGCAGCTTGCGGGGAGGTCCTGTTCCCGCGTGATTACCAGTAGATCGTGGCCGTGGAACACTTTCGGGACGCGTACAATTGCATCCTAGTGTGCTATTCGAAGGTGCGTGCGTGGTAGGGCTAGCCTCGGACGTGGAGGCAGCTGACACCGTGAATTTGCAGATGGGCATGGGGGTGGTTCGCGCTGTCACGTAGAAGCGCGCGATATGGCCCCAGTACGCTGTGAGTGTAAATTACGATTCTGAGCACTTGGTTCGCGTTCTAACGACTGCGGACAATGGGTCGTAGACGGGAACACGGTCCGCGCCCGCGCGAAGTTCCGCGGGACCCAAAGATGCGCCACAGCTCTCTATGGAGGAGTCTGTCAGCCAGCTCGGGACGTAAGAAGAGGCTGCACGACTCGAAGTCTTGTAGATCCCGCTGAGGTACTTGGGATATGAGAGTGTGGCGCGCGACGAGACCAAGGGTTAACGTTGAAGTCGTGGCAGAGGGGCGCCCAAGGCAAACGCATAATGTCTTTCAGATAATGACCTTGTCTTAGATGGCAGTTCCCAGACAAGATTTCCTCTGCTGCCCTTGGTGACAGGTACGGAGCCGGATGTGGCAGGCGTGCAGCACGAAGAGCGCGTAGCAGTCAACGACAAGTACTGACTTCGCTACCCTAACAATCTCTGCGGATGACTCGTGCAGGAATAGAAGAAGAATACGAGTTGGCGAACGGAATACAACTGCAGCGCCCTCAACGTTCAACGTTGAATGCGGGTCATGTCAGCAACTTTTCGGCGAGAGATCCGACGAAAGTCCACATGGGCAGAGCGCTTGGCGCGCAACAAACCCAGCGATGTGAGGAACCTCATCCCAGGGTTAGGTCTCGGGTCGCCGCCGTCCCCGCCGCGTACCTCCAAACACCGGCATCTTGCCGACCTATGCTCTATTGTTGCTCTTTGACTGCTACGACCCCTCATGACGGACAAGTTTCGCAAGGTGCACTGCCCATGCGAGGCTTCCATCGTGCTCGCCGTCTCACGGATCGACCAGCCGCGCTCGCGCCTCGTTCACCCCATCCCGCGTGACTTTGCGAAGCATAAATTGCCGTCTCTCATTCGTGAAGAGTGCGCAAAGTGGTGTGCGGGCTCAGTCACCACTTCCACTCGGTGAGTCCTTCCTCCTCCATCCCTTCCAACATGCCCAGCAACGCAAGTCTCGCCAACATCGCTCAGCCACTGCGATCCTTGCTGTTCATTCTTCTCGTAGAGGCCAGGGCTGCCAGAGCGTATGGACTTCGACGCGCAGACACGTTGCGCGCGTGATCCTCTGGCCCGGAAGACCTACTTGGTAGTGAGCCCCTATATTGGACGAGTTCATCGACGGCATCTCGCAGCACCTCCGAGCGAGCAGGAGGAAGAGGTCCAGCGGGCGCAAGGTGCGTCGTTTTACCCTCGGGTCTTCGAACCCACTCTCATCGCGCGTGCAGGTGAAGGTCTCGAGGAGCGTTGCGGAGGGGTCGCTTCACGTCCTGAGCATGGCGTGGGCCATGCGCAGAGGACGCTCCCCTGTTCGCTCGCTGAGACCTGGGTAGCGTTCAAGTCACCTCTCAAGCCAGCTCTTCCAGAGGGAACGCGACAGGGGGTGAGCGGGGTGGGTGCGAGGGGATGTTAATGCCTCGCGTGCACGGGGTGCGCTCGAGCCTTCAACTCGAGGGTTAACACACCCCGCGCCGCTCGTGCGATATAGTCACGATTGCACATATAGACTTCGATTGCGGTAGTACTTATTTTGTGTTCATCATCGTTATAGACATGCACATACTTCCAAGCACATGATCTCCACTGTGTCGGACAAGATGTGTATGTCAATTCAACGTTTGAACACTGGCACATGTACCTTTGTTGGATGGGCCGTGAGAAATCAGCCCTGGTTTGATGTCTTCATTTCGTGCGGCTTCCAGCACCTTTTGTCTTCGGCTTCCCTCTGTTTTGCCTCGTCGATCCCCGCTCTCCCCTGTCCTTCTCCCAGTCAATGCCTCCTAGAGACGATGTTGTCACCATATGGGCAAAACCCCTTCCCTCTTCAACCCCTGCACGGCTGGATCAACCGAGAGATCCCTCGCCCTTGCCAATCATTCTCAGGCATCGAGACCTGTCAACTCCAGTATCGACGGCCTCTTTGTTCTCTCTATCTGTAAGCATCCTAAATGTTGTCCAGATGTTATGGCTGACCTTGTGCTTCAGAGTGATAGCGAGGATCCACGAACGGTTCCTCGCTCTTCCACTGCTCCCGCTGGACGAGCCACTCGATCTCATTCACGTTCGACTTTCACCGCGACGTCCGTATGCCAAGCACCACCATCGTCACTGAATGAGCTTCCTGTGGCGGCACTTCAGGCTTCTCAACCCCCCGGAGTCATGTGTAAGAAGAAGAAGGACGCGAGTGGGGCTGCAACTGGTGGCGAGTCCGGGGAGGTCGGGGATTTTATGGTATCTACACTCAGGTACGATGACGGCAACACATTGTCATTCTTCGCTGTCTGAAATCCATTCTGTCTTGTACCTTGCTAGCGGAGATTTTCGAATACCCGTTTCTCGCTATGAACGTGCAATGCGGGGAATGAAGCTACGTGGAGAGAAGACGGTCTGGTACAAGTCCATGTACGAAACCCCAGTTCAGAACCCTCCCGTATTACCCCAGATGCACCTCCACGATATATACCTGCATTGTTCCAGCGGCGGCGAGCGGCAGTTATGGTTGTGCACATCATCCGATCAATGGCCTTCCGTACAACGATGGATTCCTATTGAAAGCGGGCATCCTCATCCATACCTCGAGAAGTACATTCTCTCCATCAACGCGAAAGGTGAACCGTCCTGGGTCACCAAGGACACTGCGCAGACGTACCGTGGACGGCAGAAGCGCATTCAGCGCCGAGCGGATGGGGATACCGCCCCGGGGACCATGGAAACTCAGTAGATGTATACTATTCAGTGCTTGCTACTCTTTGAAACCAACTTGTGCAATCATTATGTGGTTCTGTGCTGTCGCTCGCAAACGTAGCGCCTACTGAAGTGCGGGGAAGGCGCAAGCAAGGATGCGCAGTTGGGGCGGCAAAAGGAGTGCCAATGTGCGCACATCGTTTGGGACAAACTCGGGACTCGAAATGAGTACTTCCGACACGGTATCAGAGGAGACTGTGTGTCCCGGTAGGATGGTCAGATTAATGACGCGTATTACAAAGACACACAATACTACAATCTTATGCATATAACCCCGCAAATACGCGGCGCGTAATCTCGTAGAATGTGGTCGAATCAAGTAGAGCGCGTCGGGCGATATTGCACATACTAGTGATGGAAAGAAGCTCGCTGGGGCGACGAGAGAGAGAGATCGAGAGAGATTGACACGGCGGACGGCGGGACAACTCAAGAGGAAAACCGTGCGCGCATGTCTCGGAGTCAACAGGTCAATCGGAACGCTGCTGCAGCTTTGAGCGCGAGAACCCGAGCTGGGTGGTTCGAGCGCCGCATGCGAAGAATCGCGTCGGAGAGGCTTTTCCTGTGGCCGTTGATTTCTTCTCCCGCCTGACGCATGACCGCAGCCCGCTTTGCGCCAGGCTTGTGACCCTGCGCCGTTGTCGCGCATGCCGACTTTCGGTCCTAATATACTGCCTGGTCTTCTTTGGACATCGGCTTCCGCTTTTGGCTGTCCGTGTGGGTCCACCACTTCTTCCAGAACTGGGTGCCACGCTTCGATAACGTCTAGATGCAGTGGCTTGGATGGCTATTTCAGTGACTAGTAGTCTGACTAGGTCTTGAGTCGCCACCAACACGCGCTTCCTCAGCTGCGTGCGGTGGCGCAAGTCGCGACGCGCATTTCCTCTCTCCCCACCACATGCACACCGTCTCTACTTGCCCTGCTGTGAGCAGTTTGAATTATCCCGCCTCGCCCATTCACTAAGATGACATTCTCGCCAGACGACGCACCAGGAGCGACGGCGGACGCTCGGCATCCTGCCCTCACGCTCTACCAGAACTTGGAGCGCAGACGATCGGGTGAACACCCACGACCTGAGAACGCCTTGAGGTGAGGGCTCCCGCCATCGGCGGAGCACCCGGACCATGGCGGCGAGAGGCTGCCCCTGCGGCCTCTCTGCCATCTGCCATCTCGGGCGGTACCAAGACTGCAAGACGGCGGCGGGCTACGGGAGACGTGAGACGTGAGACGGGCTGCAGGAGATGGGCGACGGGCGGAGGGCGACTTCGGACAGGTGTGTGTATTTTCAATGGATTTGCGAGCCATCGTTGACGTGTAGACTAGATCTTGAATCGGCCTAGGATGGGATTGGGGGCGGGCGGCACGTCGGCGCATCGACCGTTTGCCCATTCTGCGTTTCCTCGCGCGCCCTCAAACCTTCTCAAACACGCCCAAGACTTCCTCACGTGCCGTTGCCATCATCAAGTCCGTTCCGCGTTGTCCGTACGCTTGCTGCCGTGCGTCTGCTTTCGTTCAACGCCTGTTTCGTCTCCCTCACATCCAATGTCCCTGATAGTCCGTGCCCCGCCTTCACGACGCCTTCAAATGCATCAGGCACTTTTTCGAGTGACGATGGACGGCCACGTTCGCGATCTCGACGGAGCCGCGCCCTCGGTGTTGCCATGTACCCGAGGACAGTCGCCCTCGCCATGCACGTCTCTCGCACCCTCCCGATTCAACGACCTCTCCGCCTCGAGTCGCCTACTTGATACCCAGCATCATCGCGGCAGAGGTACAGATATGGACGTTCCATGCTCTCGGGCGTTACCCAGGCCCTTGCCCCGATTGCGCGAATTGGCTTGCGACTGCGACCCACGAACACGAACACGCACAGGATTCCCCGTCGACCACGATAAAATTCACTGCTGGGGTCGCGTTTCACCCGCCGACGCAATTCCCCTCCATCGTTAACCGCCTAGCTCTCACCTCGATCGGCATCCCTATTCGGCCGATTGGCATCCTCATTCCGTCGATTGGTATCTTCGCGCGGCCGATTAGCCGCCTCCTCGTTCGAACTAGATCCCCGAACCTTCCTCAAGCCCTGGGGTCCCTTCAAGACTCCGAACGTAGTCTCTCAGATGGCAAGGCGGGGGTGTTGGCCGTCCCAGACGACACCCTTCTCCTGTGCTCTATGCTCCCGCGCTCGTTCACACGGCGGAGGGCGGAGGGAGCGACGATTGGAAGTGCGCATAGACGGTGTGGAATGACAGAACAGGTTCGCTTCTTGCTCTGTCTTTGACTGCGAACGTTGACACGACCAATGCGTCGGGTCGCTGGACCTTTCGTCTAGCTCGCTGGACGAGGTGCGACGATTCTTCGCTATCGAGGCCGCAGACGTGCTCCGGGTGACCGTCTTGTCCTCCAAGAATTGTGTTGCACGTATGTACACGCCCTAATTCCCTGTTGAAGTACCGAGTCTGACCATCGCTCGGTAGGAACGAGGCGCAAGGTGCCACCGGCATCGTGATCGTCACGTTACCGGAGGAAGATCCGCATTCCTTTGTCCTTCAGCACATATATCAGCCATGCTGCCCGGCCCCGTCCATTCCATCTCCCACCTTTCCCCCCATCGCCCTCGAACCGTGTCCTCCCGGTCTCAACACCACCGTCCCTCCACTAATCAGCAGGTTCGTCAATCCATCAAGTATTCCGTGAACACAGCGACTCACAGTATTCATGACTCCAGCAGCATGAAGCTGTGGCACGTCGTAGCAGTTGTCTTGGCAGCTCTCTCCCCCTTGGTCCACATCCTCGTACCCTACATCCGACTGTGGTCGTTTCACCTCAAGCACCCCCAGAACCCCTACACAGACATTGTTCTCGCCTCGGCCAACAGTGCCCTTGTGACCACGTTGTGCTTCGTTGTTTTCCGTTGGCCCCAGTCCTTCTGCGGATCCTTGGTGTCCCTTCCCTCCCCACCCGTCGCCATGGTTGATCGCCACACCCAGCCGGTCTCTTCTTTGAGTGCTACACTCACAGAGTGTTGGCCTCCGCACGATGACCTTGATATCGCGACCTGCGAAGCTGATCTACTCAAATCGGTCGGACCGCCGTGGCCTCCGTCAGACGCATGGAAGCTGAAGTATCTGAATCGGCGGGCGTGCTCTTCTCTGGGTCGATCTTTGGATAACACTGCGTTCATCATTATCAGGTATGTACATAGCCATCTGGCTTCTGCGATATGACTCATTCGTCACAACACAGCACCGACCACATTTACGAGATCTACCTCTCAGGCCTCGACGTCATGAGAATGCTCGGGATGCCAGCTCTCGCCGGATTCAAATCTCACGTTAGGGCTGTCTTGGAGGATGATGCGCTCAAGTATCTCCGCATCGTGCACGACGAGACCGCCATCGCCAATGATGTGTTCAATGAGATCTATGTTTTCCTCACAACCGACTGCGATAGCACGGCCCCCACCAGCCGTTTCCCAGAGGTTCTCCACTCCGTCGAATCCATCGCTACGTGGCTCAACGAGTATGAGCTGGCTCTCCGGGTGCGCCTCGCGGAGGAAGAGGACGAGCGTCAGGAAAAGTGAGGCCGATAGGGATCGTCGCATGGCTTGGGATATCAGTAAGTTTGGTTTTCGTCGCTTGACGCGGAGCATGTTCAATAACATACATCTGTTCTCTCTGCGGACAGGGAGCTAGTGTGGGCATAGTGGGAGTCCGAGTCCACGACTCTCTGTTTGGTGCCCCGTCGTTACCGTCTCGGTCTCCAACCATTTTCCATCACCATCTCCGCGTCTTGTCTTTGCATTTCGTCCCCGTCTCTGCCGGGTGTTGGACGTTGTTGTGATACTTGAACTTTTCTCATTTCTCAGCAGTCATCGTTTCTCTCTAGTTGTCGAGTCGTCAAAGTACTATTCTATTGTGCCGTTTAATCGAAGACATGCATCATTGCCAACTTCCCATCTCTGTTGGAATTTTTTTGCCAGTGACAAGGGCACCGGATCGCGCGAGGCGCGAGTCGGCGATGGCGGATCCGGAGGCAACGTTCAAGCACGGGATGCGCACCTCCACGGGAGACGCCTGGCGGTGCTACCCTCCCGCTCCTCTCATCACTCTCTCTCTCTCTCTCTCTCATCATGCATCTCCGCAAGCCCGGCCCCACATACTCCGACATCCTTCAGCTTTTCAGCTTCGACTACCCACACTCTATGCCCATGGCCAATTCCCTCAGACGGCGCCCCGAGCGCGATGGCGGACGTCCGGCGTCCTGTCCTCACCTCCCGCCGGAGCTTGGAGCGCAGACGGCGCAGCGAACGCGGACGACCTGAGATCTTCCTGAGCTGAGGGGTCTCGCTGTCAGTGGAATCCTCGGACCATGGCGGCGAGAGGCTGCCCCTGCGGTCTCTCTGCCGTTTGCCAGCCCAGGCAGCATCAAGGTTGCAAGACGACGATGGGCTTTGAGCGGCAGGCGGCAGGCGAGGATGCGTGGCGAGCAATTTTTGGGTGCGTTGTTCTGCGGCTGCTATTCTGAACGGAAATTGATAGTTCAACCAGATTGCTAGGACTCCGTTGACTCTGCGATTCACATGTAGTCTCAAGGCTGCTCTCATACCCCGGTACTGTTTGAGGACGCGTGAGTGTATGTCCACTTGTCATGGCCAATGGCTGCAGGATTCTCGTTGGCACGAGGCGCAAGGCGCCGCCCGCACATCACCCCTGCGCGGAGCACGTACCTTTGTTCATGAACATGTATTGTTCATGCCTGCATCCCTACCCTCCTCCACTCTTGTTCCTCCATCCAAGCCACCCTTCTTTTTCCGCCACTTGAGTCGTACCTTCCAATGAGTCTCTCAGGTTGTTATCTATCATTTCCATTATTTCATGTTGCAGACTCCCCGGTCTTACAAGGGCATACAATGTAGGTGGATCGGCATCCTTTGCCTCTCAAAAGCGCCCCTCTGGACAACATTCCCAGGCAAGCATCAAAAGGCAGAAGCTCATAGTGTCACAAGTCCTTCGAGCGGAAGCTATCGGACGGGCTGCCGGGACCAGCGGGATGCCAGCCGGCCAGTTGAGGCAAATCCTGCAGGGGTCGTCTTCAGCAAGAGCCTCGGAAGAAGGTGAGGAAAGCCACTCCGAGTCACGGAATTCCTTTCTCATAACCGTCCCAGAAGCTCCATATGGCCCCCAATCGCATGGGAGCACCCACACACTGCCCAAAGGTTCTTCGTTGCCGGATATTGTATGTTCTTTATTCGTTTACAGCGGTGAAGGGGTTGTTCACCACATGCATCGTCCGGATTGGTGCGTTTCACGGATTCCAGGCAACGCCGACGTCAACGTCTGGAGGTCTATCGTTATGGATAACTGGGATGTTTGGTAGAACGCGGGATTCCGGTCAGCCTGATGCTGCCGATCTCTCTGCTGGGGCTCAGGGGACACCCGGTGCGTCGTCACAATCTATATACTCGTCTCTTACTCTCCGTTTAATCTGTGCGCTTCCAGAATCCGGAACCACCGAGGCGATTCATGTCCCCCTCGCAAGACAGTTGCACCGGCTGGCATGCGTGTCCCGCGTCGTCCATCTGAGTCGCCTGCAGCCCCACGGAACACTCAGACCTCCGTAACTCAGGGCACTACTGAAAGCGCCTCTTTGGCGGAACCATCGATGGACGTCGACGAGTCCGCGACACCGGGAGTAGCGGCCGGTACGTCGCAGCAACCTCGCCTTGACAAAGGGAAAGGGAGACAGGAAATCATTCAATCCAGCGACTCTGATGAGGTGCGTCCTTCCGTTATGTATCACGAATCGGTTCTCACGAAGCCCAGGCTCTACTCCCTGCGACAAAAGGAGACATTGCGAAGGTCGTGAGCTCTATGCGCGGATGTCAGTCAGAGGTACGACAGCTCCAGGCTACGGTGTTGGCCGTTTCGGAACGTGCATCAGGCTCCGTTCAATCCCGTTCTAGCCATGCCGGTGGTGTTGAGGCAGTCCGCCCCGCTGGCAAGCAACGAAAAGTCAAGCAACCGAGGGGGCACCGGGATGATAACATGTTAGCTCTTCAGGCAGGTCTTTCCGTGCAGGTTCTCGTCTGCTGCTAATGGATATCTCCCCATAGAAAGCCGTAAGACTACACGCTCTACGTCTCTTGCGTCGGCAAACGGGAGCTAGCAAATTTTTCATGTCAACAGTCGCGAGCGAGTTCCAAGTGAAAGCGTTCAGCCTGGAGAACAACGCGCCTAGTTGCACTGCCGAGGCCTTTCGACTGGATTTCGGCGGCACCATTCACTCGGCCTTCAATGTGTCGTCGACAGAGGTCTTTGTTGATTCGTTTCTTGCCAACGTGAATACGCATAAGTGCGAGTACAAAGATCGCGCCGCGATTGCGTCAGCGTTCCGCGTCTACTTTCGAACACTGCAAGTCCACTACGCCAACGTTGAGAAGGTAGAGGACCGCACGGACATCATACCCGGTACCGAGCAGCCTCCACCGTCGCGAGCGAGCCGGCGAGCGAAGGACCCTTGGGCGGCAACCAAGCCAGAGATGACATCGGAGGAGAAACGTCTTGCGCACAACGCGACTAACAGGAAGGAAACCGTGAGTGTGTACAACATGCTTGGAACCCGTGGCTAACTGAGCTTGGCAGAGGTTCCATAGACGCGACGACACCTGTGACGTCTACGACGAACTGAAGCCGTTCAGGAATTTGCTGCGGCGACTTGGTACCGCCGGTATGAGCTCAGACGAGGAGCAAGCATCAGACGGTCGTGCGCATCCTCCTGGTCGCCCCTACGGCATTCACGTCGTGCAATGGCGGAGTGCAAAGCTTACCGCAGTGCTACGTCTACTCGACGCTTTGGACCGGAAGGATCGTGAGAAGATCAACGCAGGGGGGTCGCAGATCAGAGGACGTTTTATGACAGACAAGATTGGCCGGACCCCTCCCGTGAAAGGTCTCCCGAGGTGGGCGTACGACGAGGCATGGCTTGCAGGACTTTCGAGTGGCGAGCGGCCAAGGCTGCGAATGACTGACGAACCGTTCGAGTTTGTCATCCCCCCGCATCTGGTTTTGTGAGTGGAGTTCATGGTAACAGTTCTATGATGCGTGCTGACGAGTCGCGCAGGGATGTTGTTGGATACACCGAGGTGGAGCACGATGGCAAGGTGTGCATATGACGGTGGGGGTGAAGGAACGAAGTCGGGCGGGTCGATAAACTTGTGGCGAGTGCGTAGAGGGCATGAAGCGTCGTCGAGAGCAAGTGCTGTTAGATAACAACATTTTTGAGACCATATGGGTGGGTTGTGTAGATGCGTGATGAATAGAGCGGGCCTGGGCAGAGCGCACGCGCTTCCGCAGCGTCCCGCCAGGGTGACAGCAGTGGCGGCAAGTGCGATGACGGCCAAGCCTCTCACTCCCGCCTCCATTCACCACGCCCTGTGCATACTGACATTTTCCCGCCCAGGTACTGACGCCACGCGACGCTTTGATATGATCTTCTGCGACGGCCAATCTGCCATTTTACAACTCGGGCTACACTGAGATGGCAAGACAATAGGGGAGACTGTGGGGGAGGAAGGCGGATGGCATACAGTTGCGTAATCCTCTGGACGCTCTTCTGTGTGAGTGTTGACCGTTCAAACGTTGACTGGCCAGCCAGATCGCCGGAGGACGGGATTGGCGCGGCGTCTGCGCATTCACCACTTCCTCAATCGCTATTCATTCGTGTGCCCTCAACCGCGTTCATGAAGGATCCCTTGCATGCCGCCAGTACCGTCAACAACGCTGGTCTCACATGCCCACCACTGCCCCTGTGCGTTTGCTCTCACTTCACGTTCTATCTCCCTTATCCTCAAACATGGGTGATAGTTCGTACTCTTCTCTGCAACGTTACCGAATTTCTTAATGTTTCCGCCAGCAAGGGTGGACGTCCACGTTCAAACGTGCGCGGTTCTACCGGCCGCGCCACTGCGTTTTCCTCTCGATGGAGCGCACGCATGGCACCAGCTTCAGCGTGCACCCGGAACATGGACGGCGCGGACTCGCAGCGTGCGTCGGAGCGCAGTGGTGTGTCTGTCGGAGATGAGTGGGCGGCGGGTACGTTGCTCACATTGCAGAATTGTCCCCCGTGCTCAAACTATGCCGCAGGGTCGTTGTCTCGGCTGGAGGGGGGAGGCGCCAGCTGTGGCACTCGGTGCGCAGTGGGAGAGTAGCACGTTTGGCAAGCTCCACGGAGGAGGTCTGGGCTAGTCTCCCCTAGGCAGCCCATTATATTCGCCGCACCCTTGATCGCATGTACGTCGATACTCACCCAGCCTGTCCAATGGTCTCATTCGTGGCTCGCCCAGTATTTGCGCCCAACGTTACCGCGCGCGTCATGCAGTAGATGCAACGATAGGCGGGAATAAGAAATCGGTCCGTGCTGATGTAGATCCCAGTCGATATATATCTCATAACCCGTGGGGCGAAACCGGGCCGCACACAGTGTGTGAGCCATCGACCGCGTACATGGACTTTAATCGAAAAGAACCTCTCCATACGAGGCTGAATATTGAACTGCGAGCCAGCGCAGATGGCCTGTACCAAGAAAACCTGATACGTGCGCTGGGTCTTTACACTACACCATACTAACAAACACCTCACTATGATAGATTGTGCCTCGCGGTCACCAAGATACGTTCAATTCTGTCTATTTCGAGCAACTATTTACTGAACCTACATCCTGCTCCTCCCGGTAGCACGCCGAGCGCAAGGACAGAAGTGAGGAAATGGGCTGCGTTGCTCGCTGCAGTAAGACAGTGCGAATGTGGAGACTAAGTACTATTGTAGACAGGAGTGGCCAAGGCTCTAGAACATGTGTATAGTATAGACCCTGTCATGGGTGCGGCGAGAATGAGTAAATGCGGAACGTAGAGTAATAGAATGAAATCACCCATGACAATGGCGCAACCCGGTTCGTCTTCCGCCCACCCGATTTGCCGTGATGCATTACCAGCGCAGGATTGCATAAAACCTCTCTCTCGGTCCCTGTGGCAACGCCAGCCCTGGGCGGCGACTGGGATGGCTTTGAGGGAGACGCGTCCGCGCCAAACCGCGGCCAGCTCGGGACCTTCGCGGCTAGGAGGGCGCGCACGGCGGGGGGCAGAGCGAATGAAGATCGGTGTAGAGAGGACGCTCGCCTATTACCCGCGCGTCTTGGAACGTCGTTCAAGTGAATATCGAGCGGGGGACGTGTTGGCGCGGCGGGAGACAGGAATGGCGCCGAGGCGAGATCTTGTCCAGATTTGCCGTTCGGATATGTCAGTATGGCCAGGTGGGGAATAAAATGGTACCTGAGGTCGGAAACTGAACCAGGTTTCGCACATATGGCGCGAAATATTGAGTGTCAATGGGGAAGTGCTCAGGTGGGGCACCATGTTCCATGCTGATATGGGTCTTGCCAAACCTGCACTTTGTCTTCTCTGGACATGGGATATGGCCGGGTGACACTGACGATGGCGGCGGCGACCAACTTTCCGAGCAGCGACGCACGCCGATTCCCGAACGCCTAGGCGAGGCGGGGTTCGAGACGGAATATGGGCGTCTAAGCGTGGGCCGCTCTCAAAGTCGGCGGATGATGCGTCCAGGAGATTATAAGGAGAAGATGGAGACAAGGATCGAAAGCGTCCAGCTAGGAATCAGGCGGGGGTGGGAGTTGCAATGGACGCTTGACGGGAAATAGTGCACAGACGAGGCAACGACAGGACATCGAGTCGGAGGCGGCGGGCTGGGCGCCTGGCGAGCGAAGTTGAAGCCGTCGACGAGTGAGCTCAAGTGGGCGTACGTACGCAACGCGCGCATTCACTTCTGCGGGATTGACAGCTGGACGCTTAGTTGGGTGACGTCAGGCGTCGAGACGCAGGCGGAAACCCCAACCCCACCCTGGGGTCTAGCTACGGATTGAAGTGTGATGTTACCCGCTGGGCGCCGATGCCAACCTCCTCCTCCTCCTCCTCCTCCTCCTCCTCCTCCTTAATGTCAGAGCTTATTCCTGAAGGAAAGCATTCCAAGAAGTGCTCACGGACTACTTTGAGCCGACCTTCTGGGATACAGTGATCATCCTTCCCTACGGCCTTCTCAGCCTCAACATTGCGCAACACCTGGACTTGAGCAACATATACGACCTTCAGCTTGTGAGTAGGCTCTCTAATATTTGCTGCGTTGTGTTTCCTCTTCTATCTGTGTGCGCACAGGGTTTTGCGGTCGCTTCGCCAGCGCGTTGATTCTTTTTTCGTCCCAGTCGTTGCGACTCCTGGATCTCGGTCAGCCGCTTCGAAAGCGACTTGGCTAGGATCTTAGGGCGAACGATGCGTCCTCCTGGTTGACCAGAAATGTTCCTATGGATTGATGAACATCTCACCGATGACCGCGCTTCGCCCTCCGCACTCGTGCGTGTCTTCTCGTGCGCAACTTCGCGCTACCGCTATATCTTTGTGATGGAAGGATCTTTTCCGAGCTGAACGCCCTCTCCACAGTCATGTCGATGGCTTCATGCCTTCGCGGTCACCTGCCCCTTCTACCGCAACCTCGCGTCCATGATGCTCCGCCGCTGTCGCGTGCTCCCGCCCTACGGCTTACAATGCCTCACGGACCAGCAAACAGCAACCCATCTACGCCTTTAACCAGGGTGCGCGATCAGAGGCGGCGTGGCTCACACAAGAGCCGAGGTCGGCGTCCACTATGGAGCTCAATTTTCCCGGCGCAAACCTGGTACAAGATCATCAGCGTGCCGCCGGATGAGAAAGTCGACTGGTTCTCACCGATTGCTTCAAGCACAGCCCCTGCGTAACGAAGAGCGGAAAGGTCGTGTGCTGGGACGTGTACCGGGACATTTTTCTGGTGGAGCGGAATCCGAAGGAGCGCTGGGAGCTGTGGAAGTGCCGGGTTTCGACGTCCGAACGGTGTTCTTTATCATGGCCAAGATCATCTCACGAAAGTGCGTAATCCGCTCTGTTTGTGCGGTTGCGCGAGTCACACGCTTCAGCAGGTTGGACGACGGGCTGATGGAGTTCGTCTTGATAGGGCTTCACTTTCCAGAAAGCGGCGAGCCTCGGTTCGTCAGCTGGCCACCTTCAAGCCGAGCATGGTCATGAACATCTTCCTGCTTAACTCATCATCGCGTCTGCTAGTCGTCTGCGTGTACGTCTCAAGCTCCAACACCATCGGTCTGCGCACACTTCTGTACTGGGACATCGGGGAATACGTCTTCACGAACGCAGGCATTGATTGGGTAAGTCCTTCCTGTACTTCTAGGGAGATTGTTGTTCATCTGCGTGGCAGTCAATATCTTCCGCTTGGTCGTGCAATCTCTACAAGGAATATATTTTCGTCCACTGTGAAGAGTCCGACGTCACGCACCGGCGCATCTATCCCCTCTCCCTCCTCCCACGATATGTGCGGCCATAAGCGTGCGTAACAGGGTTCATCCCTAGCTTCTCTGAGCGCGCCACTCTCATGGCCACGCGTTCGTCTTCCTTCCTCGGTCTCGGTTTCGACTGTAGAGCCGTGAGCCGCCCAACGGTTCCTGCCTGGAGACCTACAAGTCACAACTCCGACTATGAAGAGAATGGTGGAGACGAGGATGGGGAGCGAATGCACACGAGGGCGGAGACCAGACGACAGGAGACGACGCGGACGACGGACCGGATCCGAACCCATTTCCCTATTTCCTCTACTCAATATCCAAAAAGTGCACATTTCGTTCGACAGTGGTGGCTGACGCTCACGTCGGTCCCGAACCTCAGCCGCACCGTCCTCCTGTTCGCCGACCACGAGCCTGAAACTTCACAGGACACGCTTCGTTCTCGCCCGACGCTACTTCGTCCCCCTCGTGAAGCCAAAAGAGGTTGAAGACGCGCCAGAAGAGGCCACGAAGGTGGTCGCGGACGCTGGCGCCATTCCTCCTCCGCGTCCCCGACGCCCTCTACATTCTCCCGTCCGTTGTGCCGATGTCGCTAGTGCGTGGAGCCGAGTTGTCGATCATGCGCCTGTGGTACGTCGTCCGCGTGCTCGACGAGGCTGACAAGGACATCGAACCCGACGGCGCGCAGGAGCGCGAGAGGCCGCTCATGGTGCAGTATGGATCGGGTTTGCGTTCCCGCTGGATTTTTCCCGGGACGAGAAGCGACTCCATTTCGTCGCCTTCCCTTCGAGCCTTTGGCGCCGATTCTCACACGATGGCGCATGGGCGTGGAGGCGGACGCTCGAGGGCGTGGACGATCCCGCTCCACATTTTGTGGTGATTCGACTGTTAATTTTTTTTCTCTTCTGGTAGGTACATCTGCACGCTGGGCTCCGCATGTTCCAACTCTCTTATTTAATCGCTATGCAATTTGTTCCCGCTACTTAACCTGTGAGCTACCCACGTTTCGACTTCGATCCCGCCTGGGCACGTGTGCAAACCTTGGAAACCCCCTCGGTGTGCTTGTCGTGCTCGCCTGCTTCGACTTCCTTCGTGTCTTCCCCGTGTGCCTGTGTGTCAACGTCCTCTTCAATGCCGTATTTGGGAAGATTGTCTCTCAGCGTTCGAAAGTGCCGATAGAATTTCTCCACGATGAGGTCCTCATCCTGGGCGCTGCGTTCGTGGCTCTGTAGGAAGCTCTGCGCGAACACGCGAATCGCCGACTTGTTGAATGAGTGCCCAGGGGGCGCGTCGAAGGACACCTTGAATGTGTCGGGGGTACAGCACGGCTTCCCAGCTTTCTCATCGAAGGCATCTGCCTCAGCCAGGGTGGCAAGCTTGGACCGGCGAAACGGTGATCGGGCGGTTTTACGGCCAAAGAGACGTAAGGCATGCGTCTGAACCTGTTTCTGTCTAATCATGAGTTCCTCGTTACATCGATGCTACAAAATGACTCACAGCTATCGGTTCGACCTTGACCGCCCCCTGCTTCTTCGATTTCTTCTTCGACTTTGACTTCTGGAACGGTGATTTCTCTTGCGGAGAAATTATGTCACTGGTCCCGATATCTTTCTCGAGCGGGTGTTGATGGACCGTCTGATAGGCGATTAGCATTGCTCGTGTACGTGCCTGAACCTCTCACCTGAACGCGCTTTATGTTAGGAGTACCGAGGTTGATCCCATCTTCGACCTTGGGTCCTGGAGACCCGGATATCGCGTCACCCTGATCCGTAGAAATTGGTGAACCATTCTCGGATGTGCTTCCGCGCTGCAGAGTGTCAGTACAACAAAGGAGAGCATCAGAGGAGGTCACTTGCAACAGGATTCAAAAGGTCTTCATCTGCGCGATCACAATGGTCATCTAACATCGTGTTCGCCATCTTGGGTGGGGTTTTGAGGGCGGATTTCGACGAGATAGAGTAAAACGCCAAAGGAGCTTCATCCTGCGGAGGAGACGTGTTTGAAACCTCGCGCGGTTGCGACATTTGTTCTGGTACTGGATTTTGTGCTGGAAAGTCGAAGTCGCTGAGCAGAGAGTCGGCGTCATTGCAATCAGAGTCGTTGAAACCTTCCGTATCGGACTGGATACGGGGCGAGTCCATAGAGACATGAAGCGAGTCAGATTCTTCACAGGGAGAATCCGCCGACGCTGGGGCTTTGTGTGCTTCTAGCAGTCGTCGGACATCTTCCCGTGTGAGTATATCGCCGCGGCTGCTCTTAGCCAGCCAAGCCTTGAGGGCCGTCTCGAGGTCGGCGCGTTGGTGCATCACATTTTTGTTGGTGATTCTCTCGCTTGTTTCCTTCCTAACCATGGCTGGAATTGGGGACTGTGGGGGATCCTAGTATATTTCAGTGGCAAAGCCAGGCGAAGGAGCCTGCAGGAAACCACCAACATCTGAGGGCCAACCTCCAGGCATCCGTTGTTCGCCACTGGCCCCTTGACTGCTGGAATGTGCATATAAGACGGTGAGAATGTTCGGCCATGGAATAGCATCTTCATCGTCCTTTGTTCTCGCGAGCAGTTGCCAGAATGCCACCTCAACATCCGTGTTCGCCGAATCGGGGGAGTTCTGCATCTCCAGCACGTCACTTAGGAGAACACTTGTGCAGAGAATTTAGTCTTAGCTTTGGAACGCAAATTTGGTTGCTGCTTACCGGGAACGACTAGATACACGGAAGCGCAGATGCATTGTACTACGCCCACCTCAAGTCGGGTATGGGTTGCGTGCGAAAACGCACGTGCCAGGCTTGATGCCAGTGCCTCCGATAGCACTATTGGAACATTAATTACAATATGCCGCATCTTCCCACTTCACCCGCCCGCTATGCATGCCTGCAGCACTCTTGGACGGTGTGCCAGGGGCGATGGCGGACATTCGTCGCCCGGTCCTGGCCTCCGGAGCGCAAATGGTGGCAGTGGCAGGTGCAGAGGCGTCTCCTTGAACTCAGGCAACGTTCATTTGTGGATGCGAGATGCCTCCGGATCATGGCAGCTAGAGGCAGCTCTTGCGACCTCTCCGCCACTTCCCAGCTCTGGCTATGTCAAGCCCGCAAGATGGCAGTGGGCGAGGATACCGAGAAAGGGCGGAGAGTGAGGACTAGTGAGGGCCAGACGACAAACAGGTGCGCCATTGCCCAGATAACGAGCAAGCGAGCGTTGACGACAGTCTAGGTCCTGAGACCCCCACAGACTGGACGTCTGGCGAGGATGAGATCAGCGCGGCATCGAAGCACCGACGGGCCGCCTGCTCGCCCTATATCAACTTCGGTGCGCCGTCAAGCTTTCTCTTGCTTATCATCAGTATCAGCGGCCCTGGCGGATTCGTGTGGTCTATGCATGCCCATAGCTGCCCGGGCCCCGCCGTGAGTCTGCTCTTCATCATATCCGCTCCGTCTCTCTCATACCCGATTATCCACATCGATTCGCACCCCTGCTCCACGAAGTCTACAGGTCTCCCGCCGCTTTGCAGACCCCTGTGGTAGCTCTTGTCCACGCCGCCTCCGAACCCGTCGAAGCCGAATCTGCGGCTCAAGCGCGAGTCCACGACGCTGAGACCAACACTCGCAATGCCCCTGCATACGACCACTCCCTCATGCGCACGCCCGAAGACCTGAACTCCAAGCATCAACAACTGGTCATTGAGCACCAGCGGGTCGCTGCGCCGCTGCAGATGCGCTCCGACGAGGAACGATACAACAAGGGTGCGCGGTATTTGCTTGCACGTGTATGCAAGACGCTGACGTAGTCTTCCCAGTCATCACGTAGTGCGTACTCATGCGTGACCTCACGTTCTTCGAGGCGGGTGGCCAAATGAAAGGCGGCGAGAAGGGCGTTACGCTGTCCAGCGGCCGGAGGCCTCGCCGTCTATTCGAAGGCCGACGTTGTCCTCCTCGGCGACGTTCTCGTAGCACTGGACGCGCACACGGCACGCTGGATCGTCGACAACTGGCCGAAGAGTGATCAAGGACGCACGGTCTTGCTTGTGGTCAGTGCCCGTTATTATCAACATGTGCGCATCGCTGAGATATGAGATATAGACTCACAACATGGCCATGGCGAGCCCTATCGCTGACTTCATTGTGTCATTTGGTAACGACGGCCGCGTCTTCAATCAGGGATCATTCTCGAAGATGATTGCGAAGGACGACACGCCTCATCGGAGGGCAGCGCGCAGGAAGACCATTGCCCTCATCATGCGTGCTCCCCACATTCTCCCCGATTCACCGACCCCGTTCGTCCACCTCGAGAACACTTCCGAGCCCACCAGGACCTCTCCCTGCGTGCGTCGATCGCATAAACGACTATTCCGGGCCGATGTCACTACAGAATATCCCATTTCCTATCGGGCGCTACTTCTGCCCTCGTTCCCGATTGTGGAGACTATTATCTGGAAAGTCCTCGGCATGCCCCCTCCCCTTCCACTTGTTCCCTAGTCCTCCTGGTGTCCTTTCTTCTTGTCCCGACTGGCGTCTTCTTCATCCCGATTGACATAATCCTCGTCCCGATTGGCGTCTTCCTCGTC